GTGTTACACTTCCTGTCAATGTATCAGTAAGAAAAAACTCATTGCGCACCAAACCAGAAGATGTCATTACATTGGGGTATGCATATGATAAAAAGCTGGTTAGATTTGTCCATTCAATGCCTCTGTAAGAAAATGGCATAAATTAATACAATTTTCTAAACTATGTATCTACTAATGGAGAAAAAAAAAGTATCTACTACTCAATCTCAGCAAATATGGTTGTTTAAAAACTAGAAATCCACAATGACTGCACATGTAACACACATTTTTGTACATTCTATACAAATATATTCAAAAAATTATTTTTTGAATTGTCAACAAGGGCAAACATAAGTAAGAAAGTAAGTATCTAGTATTTATCTGACAGAAACGTAAGAATCTAGTCCTGATAACAACACTGAAGCTAAGTTACAGAACATCTTTTGTGTGTATGCACAGTGTTCGTGCAGTTTGAAGTTGTATATATGTTTGTTTCTGTTATGCTTCTGAATTTGTAAGTAATTTTCATGATGACAGCAACTGTAATTAAAAGCAAACACGGTAAAGTAAGACTAGTAAGAGCGGGCTAGGTGAGGCAGCTCAGGGCAAGGATGATGTAAAGTAACAGACTGGTTTTGGGCAATTCAGCATAAGGCAGGGTAGAGCAGGGCAGGGCTGGGAGTAGATATGCTATTTACAGAATTAATTCTTTTTCCTGACTAATAATCATTTTATAGTTGAAAATTAATAATAAATAGTACCCAAGGAAGTAAAATTGAAACTCTCCATGCAATTTAATCATATGGGTTTCCACTAGTATAATATATTCCAATTTATAAAGCAACATTGTACACTTCAGTATAGAGAAGTTACTCAGAAAGAACTACTTTGACAGATTGGGAAACAAATGAACATCATGCAGGGCAATAACATTGCAAGAGACAGTGATGAAGCAAATTACGAAAGACCTAACTGTAAAGAAACGACAAAATGAGTGCATGGATATAACCTGCAGTTATGTTGTCAGCAGTAGCCAAGCAGAAGCTGTCAAAGCAGACCCTTCTTAGAATAATCTCTTTATTTACTGCTGCCTTAGTTGCCCATAGGTGAACTGCTATCCTGTTTTATTTAGTTAGCTACAAGTATAGGAGTTACTATAAGAATGGACCACTTTGGCAGGTTGGGAAACAAATGAACCTCGTGCAGGACAATGACACTGCAAGATGTAGTGATGAAACCATATACACATGAGCTAACTGTAAACAAACGCTCTGACAAAAGGAGTGCATGGATATAACCTGCAATTATTGCCAAGCAGCTATCAAAACTTCTTAAGAGTATACATCTATACAAAAAGAAAGCCAATCTTTTAAGTACTCTCAAGAAAATTGTTCTGAATATCCAATACAAAATAGCCAAGTAATTACCAAGCCACTATCAGAGTTTATACTGTAGCTAAAATTGTCTCATAAAATATACACACGTATTATACAGACCACCTTCAAAGCGGTAAAAATAAGTTGAAAAAGGTTCTGAATTTGTACCTTTTGTAACAGATTTCATTGAAAAGTAATGTTAGTAATATCCAGTAATTAACATACTACATTGAATCTCAGTACACACCGAACAGGATATGCATGGACTGCAAGCTCCTTATCAACTGCTCCAGTGGCCATGTTGAACACTTGAATTAGGCCTGACGCAGTACCTCCAGCCATCAGAGGAGTATATTGCTGCCAGTTACGAGTAGTCAAGGGTGGGCACATTCTCACAACAGTGAGCAAAGATGCTGCACTAGTCAACAAGCCAGTCACCAACAGTCGCAAAGGTGGTAAGGGAGCACTTGACTCCTGGAACTAAGGCGGTCAACACATTTTTTTTTGGATTCTTTCACACTATGTTAAGATTTAAAATTTTGAAATCACTTACGCTCATCAATGGTCCAAATAACTCATTTAAAGTGTGGTGTCTTGATGGAACATTCATTTTATTAGAATTATTTTTATTTGATGCATCTTGAAGTAATGAATGTGATGGTACCAAAGGAAATGCAATCTCATTATTAGCTAAACGCAACTCCAAAAACACCACTTTGCCCGTATTTAAAAATAGAGCTATAAATAAAGGATGCAGTGTTATTCACTCTCTGGATAAAGAAAATATTATAAAAATTTTAAATCTTCGTTTTCCCACAATGAATTACACTCACCAATGCGCCGTTCACAAGTTGGATTAACTGCCATGCCGAGTACCTTTGAACCCTTTGTATGACGAATCACTTCGCTTTGACAACGTTGCTCATATCCCATTTCCATGAAGACATCAGCAGAAAAAGAACCCATGTCTGTAGGCAAAATGAAAACTAAGTGAATATTGCATTGAGACATACATTTTTTCACTGTGAGAGGATACTTCATTCTCACAATGAAATCGAATAATTCAGGTTCTAAGGTTGGCAATTTTGTGCAATTTTAGTTTAAACCACACAAGAACAGATGCCCTAATATTATTAGAGATTTATTCTAGGTGAAATTGCATGACAACTATCAAGTAACTCAATTTTACAGATGCTTCTCATGCTGCTTAAGCCATGCCACAACCCATAGGTCATTAATTTCAGAAAGAAACTAAATCGACAAATTGAGTCAAGATAGTCCTACTCCCCCCCCCCACACACACTTTCTGAGAATGTAAAACTCAAAATAGTGCTTAATTTGCTTGTATGTAGGTGCAATTCTTGTTCCTCTTCTGTGTTTCGAGAAAGGCGTTTAGTCTAATGCTGGTGTTCTGAAAGCACTAGAAAATCTGGTTTGTATCAGCTTTTTGCAATGTGAGCTGAAATTTGCTATTTTACAGATATTCTCATTTATTCATACTTTTAAATGTCTTAAACCAATTCTAAATTTTTGAAAACTTATAGTAAGTGTTCATTTGCCTGCACTGGTATTACACTAATCTGACACAGAAGGAAATGATAATGACCAGAGCTCGGATTCTGATGATATGTTAACTTTTCATAGGTGCATTCGAGACGTAGCTAACTCGCACACGTGTGTATATCATGACATAGAGGTGTTATAAATGTATAGTTATTGGGGCATTTTTTGTAATTTTTTGTCAATTATAGGTAATTCTTTTAAAAATCTTTGCATCATTTTTGCCACTTTTACACAGGTTTCCTTTTCCTGCTTTTTGTTAGCGAATGTTTCATGAATTTACAATGACACACTAAAAGAAAGTTTTCACTGTATCATCAGTTCATGAGGAAATTCAGTTCTGTAGTGGACTATGATTTTCAAACTCAAAATTACACTGATCTTCCATAACTTACTTGACCTTTCAAAACTGACAGATCAGAGATAAGGATTACATCACCTCCTAAAAATACTTTATAAATATAATTTTACATCAATAAAGTTTATTTAATAAAGTAAAATTCATTGAATAAATAAATATTTTCGTATACATTTTGGATTATTTTGTAAAAAAGTAGGTCATTTTCCCCTTACGTTTAAGTCCTTATATAGGTCATTTTCAAAAAATATTTAGGTCACCAGAGTGTGAGCCCTGATGATAACCATTATTTGTATCAATAAACATCAGATATTTAGTATTATTTATATGACTGACGAACTCATTAAGTTATATTGGTGATAGTCCCTTCCTTTATTAACAGACTTGTTTTGTAAATGAATTGAAATTAAACATCACAGCATATTTTATAGATAATTTTAATAAAAATGGAAATTTCAATCCATAATGTAAGAAAATTCTGATAGGTGTACAAACAAAAGGTAGATTTGAATTCATACCACCAAAAATAGGCTTCATTAGTTCATTACAAAGAGCAAAATAATTGCACACCAGTGACTGAAGTGTTATGCAAAACAATATATTTTATTTTTTTCTTTTAATTACTTTGAAATCTGTTTCTTGCCTTCAATAGAGGTTGTTATTTTTAATGAAATGTGTTACAAAAGAAAATCAAATTGAAAATAGTGATTTTATTAATTTCCTATATCATGGCACCCCCAAATGCAGTATGCTTACTTCTGCTCTAAAATAACTCACCAAAGCTGCTTACACTACCAGCTGGTGCATCTAATGGGGACCCTACAAATGCCAGTTGTCGCCGGCGGAATTTGGCACTTACACTTCCAGACTCGTGAAGGCAATAGAGAATGTCCCGCTGCCTAGCAGACCTTATCTATCAAAGAAACAGAAGAGCACTTCATTACCAATATTGTATATAATAAAGAATGTAGAGAATCATATCTGCCTTCACATACCTGCACTAAAGGTGATCCTGATTTTTCCAAAGGAATTATTCCAACAGTTTGATTAATGTGCAAATCAAGCACCAGAACTTCACGTGCATATAACAAAAGAAGGTGATGTCTTAAACATTGGTGATACTCAAGCTGAAGGCACTCGCTGACAGTCATATAATCATCTGGCCTGTAAAGAGAATTTACGTTCTATGTTTAACAAAAGCTTTGAAATGAGTGAAAACCATATTTCTGTATTTATTCAAATACTACAGAATATTTGAAAACTATTTTTTGTGTTTTAATATACTCACTTGGGTTTTGTTTCTCCAATAACTAAGTCCTTCATTAGTCTTCGCAATCTTAATCTATCACGCGAGCGTTGTTTCTCTTCCAAACCAACTGAACTCAAGTTTGAAACACTTCCTCGTGCAGAACTAGCTGAAGGATTTGTGCGAGGACTTGACACATAGAATTTTCTACCATTAGATGAAGGGACTTTCGTGAGCGTAAAATCATCAATGAACAAGATGCAGTCATTGCAGAGAACTATAGCACATGACAGAAAGGATTATAAATTCACTTTACTGTTATTAATCCACAATTAAATATGGTCAAATATACATACATGCCATTTTTGAAGCATCGAAGGGATCAAATCTGAAGCTAACAAGAGTCTCAGTGTATGTTTTCTTCCACAGTTTTGTCTTATTATAGGTGTCCCAAATAACAAGAGAGTATGGTGGATGAAGAGCCGCAAGAATATGGTCATTGCTATCAAAGCCAGAAACCCACTGCATATCTACAGGCAAAAAAGTAATCAACCTACTGTAGAAGTAGGAAATATTATTGAATTTTCATATTATGTCAACATTTAAAAAACACACCCAACACAGGTTTGCTTCCTTCTTGTAATACACCATGGGGGATTCCAGATGTGACATCCCATACAATTATATGGCCTGTAGTGTCAGAAGACACTAGGTCAATAGCAGGTGATCGTGAAGTTTGAGCTTTCTCCCAAAGTACCTGCAGCAATTGAGTAAATAATGAAAAATGCTTCTCCCTCCCCTCCAATTACACTTTAGTTGAACCAAAGCATATGTACCTTGTTAACCATTGACTTGTGTTTATCTAAGCATTGTATTGTTTGAATATTTTTTGTATCAATTATCACAACAGAATAGTTTGAGCCATAAGCAAGAAGTCCATGTTGTCCCCTGGAAGTTATAAATGAATGTTATTGCACACACAAACAAATTACAAGATCCATATAATTGAAATGAAGTTTCTAAATATTTACCAGTCAATTGCTCCTTGATTTTGAAGGTTAGCTGGACCAGTTATAGTTCGTGCAGATACACGAGGAATCTGCACAGCCACAGTCCTGGGCTGATCTGGTTCTTCAACAGATGGTCCACGCTCAATCGTAACATCTCTTTGTCCCTGAACTTCTTCGACATCAGCCATTATTTCGCTCCTTGTTTACTTGGGCCAACATACACTTTACAATCCCAGGGAAGAAAAAAAACTTGCACTTTCGATGCAAGTATTTCTCTTTTATTCAGGGAAACTTTATACACATATGCAGTTTTCCTCAATTGTGAATAAAGGGCTTGATGCCACACACTTCATTGTCGATGTAACGTTGCAGCGCAAGTCGCACGTACAAGCTTTTACTGGTACGCGTTCGATCGCCACCAGCTTCAACACGTATCGTCACTTACGTGGTCATTTTGAATTATTATAATAATAGCGATAATCTTACGCACCCGGCACTATCTGTCAAACATTAAACTAACAAACACCGACCCACCCATCAACATACAAGCAGACATGTTTGCTTCTTCAGGGTAACCAACATAAATTACTCCAGCTGGTTGAATTTCTCTCACGTTTTTCGAAATTTTCCTTTCAACACTACCTCAATCAGAAGACAACCTAAATATTACCAGGTTCTTCATATTTCGCTAATTCTTGCACTATTAATTTCTGCGAGATTCTGAAAATTCAAGAAAAAAGTCTCTAGCAGTTAATACATTGAAAGTAAGGTATAAGCCATGATATAAATGACGTAAAGCCATGCTATTAATTCCATAATTTTTATTATTTGATGTTAAAACAGATAAAAACGGAGTGTGACGTACAGTGGGGAGAAGATTATAAAGGTACAAGGGAACTTATTTGCAAGGCGATTGTAAAAAGTAAGAAGTAGGTTACTGTTTACTAAAACTAAGGCCATGTCACGGCCGTAAAAGGAGTTAGCAATTACGTAACGTGCATGGATGGCGAAAGATACAACTGTTGTTAATGGCACAGCCTTTCTCGTACTAGTTAGTCCCTATTTTCTTCGATGTCTTAACGATAAACATGGCCTTTTGCGGTACCTACCGATCCACTGGAGTGTGGTGAAGAGCACATTCGCACAACCCTACAATCGCATAGACCTACTAGACCTATAGACCTATATCTCGGCACTGTACCGTTACATATTTACCCATGGTATTCTTTAATCCCTCTTCGGACCTCGTACAATTGTTCTGCGTGCGGGTCAATTAAACACACATATTGCACACAGTCGCATGTCAAGTCTAGAGACAATTAAGGACTATGGTATAGATGTAATACACGGGGAACAGGGAATGCCTCCCAAACCTCAAGCACAACTGAAAACATTCATATTCGAGGGTTTAGAACCCACAGCCTTAGTGTCCACGCCCCAAGACCGTCTCACTACGCCGATTTACTTGACCATAATAATTGTGAAGTGTTAGCCTAAAGTTTTGTTACAAAAACTCGATAAAGCCGATAATACACAGTTCAATCACATCAATGTCACCACCTTTCGAAATCACATCAATGTGACCACCCTTCAGATCCACGGCGCGAACAGCATGATCGAGATGGTCCTACAGATTCTTGATTGGGTTTAAAGTTTGGTGGCCAGGGGAGTTCTGTAAACTCGTCGTGGTGCTCTTCAAATCCACGCATGTACTCTTACACTGCGAGCTGTTTAAAACGTTGCATTGTCCTGCTGGTAGATGCCGTCTAGCTAAGGGAGAACGCTCTGCGTATAGGGGTGGGTATGGACCCCATGGATGGCTGCATAATTAGCGTTGATCCGTTGTGCCTTCCGGAATGACGAGACGCCCAACGAAGATTCCCCACGCCATCACGCTCCCTCTGGCGTGAACCCGTCCGGCGATTATTGCAGGGTGTTTGCCTTCGAGTGTTGCACGTCGTATACACCAACGACCGTCTGTCCGATGGAGCAGAAAACGGGATTCATCTGAAAAGGCCACCTGTCGCCACTCAATGGATCGTTGAGTTGCGGCTTTGGCATGCAAATTCCAGCCTTCATCGCCGATGAATTTCAGTCAGCATGGGTGCGCAACCCTGCATTGGTCGACTGCGTGCCTTTGAAAGTGCCGCCGGAAATTAATTCTGGCGCCACTCAAGAGAGGGCGGCGATAGCAGACGCCGCGGCGCCGTCACGCTCGATCCAGGCCTTTCCCGGAGCGACGGAGGCGCATCCGATTTCTGACAGCTGGCAGCGGACCCGCAGCCCGAGCCGGCTATAAGAGCGGCGCCCGGCGAGCGGAGAGACAGTAAGCGCCTGCCTGCATCGAGAAAGGGATTCAGTGAAATGGTGAACAATTGCGACGACACGGCTACGGATACGACCTTCCTCTCTCGTGAAACAGTGACGGTTAACAACGGCTGCGATTTGGGACATCTCCCCCGGGAAATTTGTGACTTGGACCATTTCTTCGGTACATCTTTCTGCGTCTACCGTAAAATTGTTTCTGGTTGGCTTGAATTTTTGTTCTTCTCTGTTACTAATTGTTTGGTTTTGGAATAGAATCCCATTTTTTAGAAATTGGCCTTTCTTTTGGTCGCTACAAAACCAGGCGCCTGTTGCGGAGGCATATATGCAGTAACGTTCGTTGAAAACTTGTAGCCTCTTGGTTCATCTGGGTGGTCAGTTGTTCTACAGTCGCATGTCTATATGTCCATTTACCCGTATACATCTTCGCATTCTCCCCATCTATGGTTGTAGTGCGCCACATTTGTCTCGGCGCCGGTTTCGGATATCGCCATTTTTGCCATGCACGGTATATTTTAACGACGACGGCACTCGAACACTTTACAAACTCATGTTTCGAAAATGCTTCCGCCCTAGGCCTGAAAAAGAATGATCACGTCCTTTTGGACGCCCGATAAATTGTTTCGTCCGTTCGTTCCTGCATTGCGACAACTACTGCACTGTTTTCCGCTTCCTTCCTGCACGCTTTATATACCCTCCAGAGTTAGTCCTGCCACCTGCGTTCTGTGAGGGGTTATTGCACATTTACGTATAAATAGGCGGTGGCCACATTAATATGACTGGATTGCGTATAACTAATATTGACATTTCTATGCTTAAGCGGCCTTGAGGTTTTTTACATCATAAAATCTATGAATCTGAAAAACGTTGTCACCAGGGGCTCTCCACCGACACGTAATAAAAATGTGATTCCATATTTTAAAATCCGGAGTAAAGAAAAAAAATTGTAACAAATTACAGGCAAATTGAATATTTAATTAAAGTTATTCATTAGTATTGTTGCAATTACATGTAAGACATTTTTTTAGAAACACAAGAAAGAAGATACCAACCAATGGTTGAGTGAGAGGTGGGGGGGGGGGTTAGAGCGTTTCAGCACCGATCTCTGTGTATTTATGCACTTGGCAGTTTACAGAGTGACTCGTGCGATGAGAGCCAGTATTTTGAAAATGAATTTGTAAACTTTTCGTCCGTAAACTAACAACAGTACAAAACCAATAAACAAACTTATGTTTCACATGAATGATTCATTCGTCCTGTTTCGTTGCTTGTTCGGTATCTCAAAGTTCGCAAACAAAAATGTCGAGAGTTAATTTTCAGAATAAGAGTGCCGGTTTGAGAATCATGAAGTCATAAAATAGAAAATTATTTCTTTCCTTCTGTGCACGATATTCAATCACATTAATCAATTAAGGATACACGTACGTGTCCTCAAGTACATTCAGTGATGTATCGAATGGCAATACTACTTATTCATTTTATACAATCAAATTCAGTTAAACAGTAAAACTTGAAGGACTGATTTTTAGGAATGCCAGTCTCCAGATTTCTCACATGGTTGAATAATATCGTGGATCAACCCATCTATTACAGACTGGGCATTCTTTGATAACTTATTCTATCAAGAATAAAATGATTGTTCTGGGGAGTCTAACTATTAAATAAATTGGCATTTTTTTCAATTAAAATATTTACAGCATTTATTGAGTTCTACTTTCACTTAGTTAAACTTAGTAATTTTTTTACAAATTTTACTTTTGTACAATTACTTCTGTTGGCACGCCATTTGATCATTATATTAATTTATTTCATTTGCTAAGGGATTTTAAGTGTCTTTCTGATATTTCCTTTGCAAATAATTGTTAAATTTGTTTGTTCGAGGTATTACGCGGCACTTACGATTCGTGGAGAAGTTGTAGACTGAAGCTGAAGAGAAGGTTTCCCACGAACAATCTTGAAGCCCACTGGGAATCTTCTTTTCTTGTATCTTGATGGCAGAATTGAAAATTGTCGCTCTCTAATCTGAATATGTTAGACGTTATACTAATAAAAACTGGCGGTGCTAAAACAGCACGTATGGTCTCGCCTGTATATTCACACTGTTACGCAAAGAGTACTCAAATTTTCGAAAAATATAAACTATTACTCCTGATAATTGTTCTCTCTCTCGTATCTCAATATTCCCTACGAGCGTCACCCTCCGTATTAAAATATGGCCAGGAAGCATTCACTACCGAACCTGAATTCCGTGTCCAAGCGACACCGAATCTAAATAGCTTCTTACAAAATGAAGGTTCTTGAAGAAAAATGTAATTTGTATTTTAACTTTCTATTACTAATTTTATCATTGGCCTCAGCCCGTCTGCAGACAGTCACTTTTTCCGAAGTCAGCAAGTCGACGTGGCATGGACTTAACAAGTGTTACGACCAAAACAAACTAAATTCGTAAAACAGTTTTTTTATTCACAATAGTCAAGAGTACATGGAAAGTCGTTAACATGTGTAGTGAAAAAATAACCAGGAGATTTCCCGGGGACTTGCCAAATTTATCAAAAGCCGAAAAGATGACCAAACACAATGCCGTGGTCACAATCCAAATACTCGAAGAGTAGTCGCTCAATCACTTGCACTCTCGTCGATCGCACTGTCATGGGAAGACTGGAACTGGCTTCACGGCTCGCGGCGCGCCGTTTTATACCCGGCCAGGGCTGAAGGCTCGCCGACTGGACTCAGCGACCTCCCGTGAGCGGTACCTGTATTTTCCTGGGGCGCCTCCGCCTCGTTGCTGCGCACTGGTGCCGGTTCTTTCAACGGGGCGCGGACGGCTACTACAACAAGTCGTTGAAAGTCCTCTGAAGAAATATGAGCCATGCCTCTATTGTCGTCCATAATTGCAAAAGTGTTGCCGGAGCAGGATTTTGGGCTTGAACCGACCTCTCAATTACGTCCCATAGATTTTCGATGAGATTCATGTCGAGTGATCTGGGTGGCCAAATCATTCGCTCGAATTGTCCGGAATGTTCGTAAAAACAAATCGCGAACAATTGTGGTACGGTGACATAGTACATTCATCAAATTTCCATCATTGTTTGGGAACATGAAGTCCATGAATGGCTGAAAATAGTTTCCAAGCAGCAGAAATTAATCATTTCCAGTCGATGATCGGTTCAGTTGGACCAGAAGACTTAGTCCATTCCATATAAAAACAGCCACACTATTATGCAGCTACCACCAGAATGTACAGTGCCTTTTTGAGAACGGGTCCATGACTTCGTGGGGTCTGCGCCACACTCGAACCCTACTCTTACAAAACTTACCGGCTCTTACCAACTAGGGACTCATCTGACCAACCTACAGTTTTCCAGTCGTC